CCCCCCCCCCCCCCGCTTTTCTCTCCCTTTTGTTTGCTTATAATCTTTAAGCTGAAGCACCTGCAAATGCCAGAAAACTGGGGAGGACTTGTTCAGGATGCCCAGGATAGCAGATCAAGTTCTTTCTCTTTTGTAAGAGTCTTACTGAGCTAGAGCGACTCCATGTTGACCAGCAAATGACCCAGAGACTGTTGTTCCCCCACCCCTTATAGGAAAGTAATGATTAATTGTGAATTACTAGGTAACTGCTTGGGAGTAGCTGGGAAACTAGACAGAAACTGTAGCAAACATAGAGACCCAAAGTAAATCACTCCACTCCTTGTTTGCCTGCAATTGAATGCTCTGAATACCACAATCTATAAAACAATGGATAATTGATCTGCTGACCGTTAGTATATAACGGTCCAGTACATGATTGATGACCACCAGCTCGGATCAACTGACCGCTTGCCTTTGTCCCCCTCCTGTAAGTTTCGAGTGTAAACTCCTCCCATATCCCTATATAAAATAGCCTCTGACTCTGAGCTAGTTGCCTCTCTGAGCTACTTGGCTCCGGGGTGCCCTCTGGCCAGACTAATAAAGGTCTATTTGCCAACCAGCCTGGTGTGTTCCTTCCTGGGTGACTCTCGCTGTCCGACAAGCTCCTGGAGCCTCGCCGAGCTTTAGGGCTCAGCATCTTGGAGGCCTTTTGGCTGTTCACACTCCACGGAGTAAAAGTGAGACTTTAAGTCTCTCTTGGTGTTTGCCCTTAGGTTCTGTCCCAGCTGCCTTCCTGCGGAATGTGTGTGTGTGTGTGTGTGTGTGTGTGTGTGTGCGCGTGCGCGCGCTCTGTGTGCACCCGAGTCAGGGACAGGTGATACTGTGATAACTGCACCAACAGCCTCTCAGCTCTTAGGCTTGCCCCCCCATCCCATTCTGCTATGCAACTCTTGCTTATTCTAGGTTTGTGTCTCTCTCTTATCCTTCCATATACTTCTGTGAATTTTTAATCTTCCAGGAATTGTTAAATGTCCCGTACAGATTGCTCCCTTAACTGGGTTTCTTCCTCCTCCGCCCTTCCCCTCTTCCAACTCGCTTCTTCTTTTTCTTCCTCTTCTCATCCTTCCCACCCCCTCCATCTCCTACTCCACCCTCCCCTCCAGCCCTTCTCTCCCCACTCCTCCACTTTCTTCTTTCTTCTTGGAGGTCAGGTCTCAGTATGTAGTCCAGGTGGGCCTGGACTGCAATTGCTGTGTAGCCCAGGATGGCTTTGACCTTTTGCCTCAGTCTCCCAAATGCCGGGATTAAAGGTCTGTGCCATCACACCTGGCTGGGTTTGTTTTGCATTCATTTTAAAAGGCTCGTGGGATGGACAAGAAACTGTGTTGAGTCTGTTTCTGGGTGGCCAGAAGTAGTACGCTCATCCCCAGTGGAGCCTGACCTTGGTACAGAGTCTTCTAGACTGAGCGCCTTTGTGGTCTGTTAACTATTACTTGGGCCCTTGAGACATCCTGTTTTCTCTCAGGCAGCTGAGACAGATTATGTCTGAATTTGGTGTAATCAGGTTGGACTAACTATAGGCCCACATGTCTAAATGGGATTGTGAGACAAATGAAAACATTTGAGTAGAAATCCTTTAAGTGACCAATTCAAGAAATTTGAAGACAGCGAATCTAAGAAATATCTGGCAGTTGGTACTCTGAGCAGGATGGTGGCAGGGTCTGCAATAACATGTATTCTCTGGTTGAATTTCAGCTCAGATATGTATTGGAAGGTGGGACTTAGTCCATTGCAACCTCCTTTTTTGCAAGGGTTTTACGTTTTAGTGATGATATTTTCTTGATTCTGACAATAGATAAAGGGGATATGTTTTTATTAGCTTATGTACCTTGAACTCTTCAATCCGGAGAACATACAGCTACCTCCAAACTACCACGTTTTACAACTAGCGTGACAACACGCTTTTTACATTTAAAAATTTTCTATCTCCTAATTTTCGTTTGTGACATTTTCTATTATTTTTAGGCCTTTCTAAAATAAAGCATTAACCAATATTGTCCACTTTTTGAAAAAAAAGATGTTTTTATATTTGATTCTTGAATTTGGCTAAAGTTTATGTTGCTGCTGGTGTGAGACAAAGATCTACTCTTCCTTTCAACAAAATGTCTGCCACCTTTATTGAACAAAACACCCTCTCTCCCTGGTACCTGACAACACCTTTATTAGTCTTATAGTTTTTAAATAGTTTCCTACTGATTCTCCTACAGGCATCATTTTCTAATGTCCAGGAATGCGAAGCTTATGAGAGAGCAGTCATAGTTGCTGGTCTTCCTGTTGACCTTTTCAGTGATCAGCAGTTGGCCATGTTGGTGAAGAGTTACTTCCAGGATGTGAAGACTGAGGCTGGAGAAGTTGAAGGTGTGATATATCCAACAAGGACCAAGGGAGTTGCATATGTAATATTCAAAGAAAAAAAAGGTATTTCCAAATAAGATTTTTGTAGTCCTAGAAATATTTCTTCAATGAAAATAAAATTAGATTTGTTACGCATATCTGCAATCCAGGTCTAGGGAGGCTGAGACAGGAGCGTTGCCAAGAGTCTGAGGATAAGTCTGGGGTACCTAATGAGTCCAAGGCCAATCTGAACTTTACAGCAAGTCCCAGGCTCAGAAACAAAAACAAAAACACCAAAAAAATTGTCTTTTGCTAAAATTATTCGTACGATGACTATTCAGAGTAGCTGTAATTATTCTAAACTGGTCATAATTGTGCAGGCCTATAATCCCAACTACTGAGAGGGTAGGTGGGCTGAAGCAGAGGGTCAACAGTTTGAACCCAGCCTGGGTAACTTAGGGAGACCCTGTCAAAAAATAAAATTAAAAGGACTGGGGATGTAGATCAATGATAGAGTGATGTTTGCCTAGCATGTGTGAAATCCTGAATTCAATCTGGGGCATCACCAAAAAACAAAACAAAACTTTTGAATATAAAAGTGGCCAGTACTGTATTAGCAAGAGTGTGTGAAAATGGCTAACAGGGCTGGCAACTGACAAGTTTTTGTTTTGTTTTGTTTTTTGGTATTGAAGATCAAAGTCGGGTTCTTGAGTTTGTGAGGCAGGCAGTGGAACCACTGAGCTAAATCCTCGGCCTGACAAGTTTTTGAAGGCCTTCTTTTCCATAATAGTTTGAATGTGTCTATAGCTTGGGATTTGGATGTTGAAGAAAACTTGTAAAAAGGAGAAAAAAATGAAGAAAAAAAATCCTTACTTAAATGATAAATAATTATATTTTGGGATTTTTTTTTTTTTGGTACTGGGGATTGAACTCAGGTCCTTGCACTTGTGAGGCAAGTGCTTGAACCACTGAGCTCAATCCCCAGCCCTAATTTGGGAATTTTGAGATGGCTTCAACAATATAACCATACTCCTTGCTTCTCTGCATTGAAACCATCAGTCAAACATCTATTCTCTCATAGTATCCACTTCATTATTGTTCAGGTGGGAATGAGAAATGTGGCTTGGATCCTAGAGCAGATCCAACCATTCTGCCCCGCCCAGTGCCTGACCTAGGGGAGGCCGTTGGGCCCGCAGTGAGGAGTAGCCCTCCGTATAGCTTGGTGGCTGGCAGTGTAAATTGGCAGAGAAAGACCAATCTCCGTGGCAGCCTCTTGGAGAAAGTCCCACACTGTGTGAGCAGAGAAGACCTGGCTCCAGCTGGGAAAGACCGGGTCCAAAGAGACACGCAGGAGACTGACCAGTACCTGCGTCTGTGACTGTTAGTTAAGTCATTCCTCCTCAGTGGGAATGACTGAGTTCAGGTAAGGGTCAGTGGGTGTGCTCCTCATTACTTCTCTAAAGGGATGGTAGTGTTTTTTGGAAGTTAATATTCTGTACGTTGAATTGCACAAACAGAGAGAAAAGAGAGGGCTCAGAGAGGGCTCATTCCTTTATTCCCAAATATTTATTGAGTACCTCTTATTTGACAGGGACTATTCTAGGTATTGAGGATACGGCAATAAATGAGATAGGCTAAGTGTTTTCTTTCATGAAATGTACATCTATGGAGGATGACAGATAATAAATGTATATGATATATTGATGCTTTATATATATATTTATATACATATTTATGTTTGTATATATCCAGTAATGTATGAGTGCTATGAAAAAATATAAGGAATAGTAGAGGGATAACATATGGTAGATGGTGTTTTAGATAGAGTGGGTAAGAAAACACCCTTTGTTTTTGGAAGTGTGGGGTATCAGATCCAGGGCTTTACACATGCCAGACAAGTGCTCTACTGCGGCTCTCTGGGGGGACCCCGTCCCGCGGGGAATAGGAGGTGAGAGCCGCCTCTTATTTGTGGGTCATCAGAGGCCGATCGTCTTGAATG